TTTGGGAGCACCACTTTGGAATTTATTCCAATATTTTGAATTGACTGAAATAATGCGGCAACGTGAGGATTGTGCCTTTGCCATCGCATTAAATAATATGTCAGAAGGAAAAATGACTGACACGGACAAGATGCTTATTCAACAGAGAATTGTTCTGCCTTCCGAAATAAATAATATTCCCAACGATGCTATAAGGTTGTTCTAGTCAAATCAGAAAGCGAGCGATTACAATAATATCCGACTAAGCCAAATTATTACAGAAGAATATACTTTAAAATCTAAAGATATGCTGAAGGCCAAATCAATATCTGAAAGGAACAAGCTAAATATTTTAGAAAATATTAAGGCTTTCAAGACTTCCGAAACCCAAGGCCTTCCCTATCTGCTTAAGCTCAAAACCACAGCTAAATATATGATTACAGTCAATATTAATACCAATGATGGTTTGGTCAATGGAGCGAGTGGACAGCTTATGCATATTGACTATACAGCCAGCGGATCTGGTGTGTTAGTTTCGAAGCTTTGGCTTAAATTTACTGAAGCAACTGTCGGAGCGCAAGCAAGAGCAAAAAAATCAAATCGTTTGCACTCTGATTGGACACCAATTGATAGAGTTTTAAGAACATTTCAATATAGGAAAAATGACCAAGTAACAATTGAACGCTTGCAATTTCCAGTGGTTCCTGCTGAAGCAATAACCATCCACAAGAGTCAGGGAGCAACCTACAAAAAAGTGCAAATTGCAGTGCATTTGCAAGACGGCATGAACCGTGCTGCTCTATACGTAGCTTGTAGCAGGGCAACTAGTGCATCTGGGCTTTTCCTCATAGGAAAGTTTAATCCGCCTAGAGAAATACAAGCTACCGATCCCGTCCATATTGAGTTGGAAAAACTCCGGGGCGAGAAAAAATTGACCACCCACCATCAGATATATTTTGAGAGAGTAGAAGGAAATATTTTAACATATTTCCATAATATTGAGGGCTTACTTAACCATAGTTTAGACATTTCAAATGATTTTTTAATAAACACAGCAGATATTTTATGTTTTGTAGAGTCTTGGAGTAGAGAAGGCCAAGTATATAATATAGACGGCTTTGACATACTCGGTCGAATCGATGGTAGCATGTGTACAGGTAGTACTAGACCACCTGGTGGTATAATTGTTTATGCAAAGTCGTACATTGCACAAAGTGCTAAAATATTGTCTGTGGTTAGTATTAATCTGGAACATAATAAAGTTTGCCAGATCCTTATATTTCAACACTTAGATACCAAATATGTAGTTGTTTATAGAAACCTGTCCTTCTCCATTTCCGAATTTCGTCAATTATTTTTAGAACACTTAGAGCAGGAGCTTAATAATCACAGTAAAATAGTTATTTTGGGAGATTTCAATTCATGTCGAGCTAGAGTTAGAGACCAGTTAGAAATTAGATTAAACGAGCTTGGTATATCGTCTCTTTTGCGTGGGGTACCTACAACAAAACAGCTAACTGAAATAGATTGGGTATTTTCGACTAACGGACTGGACAATAAAGCCCAGGTGTATGAAACGGCATATAGCTACCACGATGGTATTTTCGTTTTCCATAGTTAGGCAACTTTTGATAAATTTATCTTTTGTGTGATGGATCAAAAACATATATATATATATATATATATATATATTAATATTCTTCGACTGTTCGCTTTCGATCACATCTTTTTTTTTGACAAGGACATGGACATTTTCATATTTTTATTATAATTTTGTCGTGAAATGTGTAACGGATAGAAGGAGACATCTCCGACCCCATAAAGTATATATATTCTTGATCAGTATCAACAGCCGAGTTGATATAGCCATGTCCGTCTGTCCGTCTGTCTGTTTCTATGCGAACTAGTCTCTCAGTTTTAAAGCTATCTTTATGAAACTTTGCAGAATTCCCTCTTTCTGTTGCACGCAGTTCATATGTCAAAACCTGAATCGGACCACTATATCATATAGCTGGCATAGGAACGATCGGTCAAAAAGTAGGTTCTTGTATGAAAAACATTTTTGTTTATAAAGATATCTTGACTTAACTCGGTATTTATTAGTTTTACTACGCTCCCCATATATATGCAAAATCCTATTAAGATCGGCCAACTATATCATATAGCTGCCATAGGAAAGATCGGTCGAAAATTAAGTTTTTATATGGAAAATTTTTATGTTTTTCAAGATATCTTGACCAAACTCGGTATTTATTAGTTTTACTACGCTCCCCATATATATATGCAAAATCCTATTAAGATCGGACAACTATATCATATAGCTGCCATAGGAACGATAGGTCGAAAATTATGCTGTTGTATGGAATTTTTTTTGTTTTTCAAGATATCTTGACCAAACTCGGCATTTATTAGTTTTACTATGCTCCCTCCACTTATGCATAATCTTATTCACATCGGGCTACTATATCATATAGCTGCCATAGAAACGATCGGTCGAAAATTAAGTTGTTGTATGGAAACCTGTTTTGTTTTTCAAGATATCTTAACCATACTCGGCATTAACTATTTTCCCTGTGCTTCTTAGATACCGGCAAAGCACTATGAGCATTTTGAAAAGGTTGGGTCTGCAAGGGTATTAAATCTTCGGCGTGCCGAAGATAGCACTTCTTTCTCGTTTAATATATCTTTATTACTACTAAAGCCAACGAACGCGTATCTCGAACTGCATTTGGTGTTGGAATAAAAGGGTTCACCGTATCCCCTAGTCGGGAGCGCCCCACTAGAACCTCTTACTTGTTTAATATATTTTTATTACTGCTGAAGCAAACGAGCGTGAAGCGCGGCTGCATTTGATGTTGGTAGATTAGAGTTCACGGTATTCCCTAGTCCGGAGCTCCTGACTAGAACCTCTTACTTCTTTGGTTTTGTCGCGGCGCAGGTTTACCGACTTTTTAGTTAGTAATTCTTGCACATTTGATTTAAATCCGCTGATAAATTGAGCTTTATAATCGATTTTCTATTCGCTGGGCGCCAATTAACGAATTGAGTTAGCTATAGAATTTAATTGCCAAATTATTGCTGTCAACTTCTCCATACAAATTTATCTGAACATGAACATGAACATGAACATCGCACCTCTCCGCCTCCGATATATTGATTCGAGCTACCAACCAACTTATCCCAACTTTAGCCTAATTATCTTATTATTATTATTTTTGCGAATTCAACAGCTCAATAAGATCGACTACAGAAAATTTCATCAAGATCGGTTGGGAAACACAGAAGATATTATAGAAAACGTGCGGTTATATTTACAGGCTATTTATGTATACATTTGCACACATACATTCATTTGTGTGTCGTTTTTGAATTATTCAAAACTAGCGGGTATAACCCGGCCTTGCCCGTGGCACGTATGTTATAAAATCAACAAACTTAAAATTCACCAAAAAAAACTTTGAAATGTATTTTCCACCGAAGGGGTTTCGATTTTGCGAAAAATGTGAAACACGTCTCAAATGATTTTTCTTATAGATCTTTGGAAATAAATTTGAACACAAAACGTCATCCACCAAATCTTCGACCCCCATTTTCACCAAGGAGGGATAGATTTTTCAAAAAGTGTGAAACACCCCTCAAATGTATTTGAACAAAGATCTTTGAAAATAAGTTTGGGTCCGATCGGATCGTAAACAAAAAACTTTCATACAACCGTTTTCCGCCAAGTTACCACTGTTACGGGTGGAATTCCCCAAATCGCTAAAATACGTATTTATTAAGTTCTTATGTAGAGCTTTGAAAATAAGTTTGAAGCAAATTGGACACAACTTAAAACATCGCCCAAAAAATCTTTAAATCGCATTCCCCCCGAAGAAGTTTGAATTCTGCGATAAGTGTGAAACACGTCTCAAATGATTTTTCTTATAGCTCTCTGGAAATGAATTTGAGCGTGAAACGTCACCCACAAAATATTTGACCTCCACTTCCACCAAGGAGGAATGGATTTTCCTTAAAGTGTGAAACACCCCTCAAATGAATTTGAGAAAAGATCTTTGGAAATAAGTTTGAGTCCGATCGGATGGTAAAAAAAAAGTTTCATACAAACGTTTTTCGCGATTTTTCCACACTTGCGGGTGGAATTGCCCAAATCGCTGAAATACGTATTTATTAAGTTCTTATGTAGAGCTTTGAAAATGAGTTTGAAGCAAATCGGACACAACTTAAAACTTCGCCCAAAAAATCTTTGAATCGCATTCCCCCCGAAGAAGTTTGAAATCTGCGAAAAGTGAAAAACACGTCTCAAATGAATTTTCATATAGATACTTGGAAATGAATTTGAGGGCGAAACGTCACCCACCAAATTTTTTACCCCCATTTCCACCAAGGAGGGATGCATTTTCCAAAAAGTGCGAAACACCCCTCAAATGAATTTGAACAAAGACCTTTGCAAATAAATTTGAGGCCGATCGGATGGTAAACAAAAAAGTTACATACAAACGTTTTTCGCGATTTTTCCACACTTGCGGGTGGAATTTCCCGAAACCCCGTCTTAACGTGCACCTACATTACATAAGGTAACTACAGTGAAAATTTCAGCTTCCTAGCTCTTACGGTTTGAGCTGTGCGTTGATCACCAATCAGTCAGTCAGTCAGTCAGTCAGTCAGTCAGTCAGTCAGTCAGTCAGTCAGTCAGGACAAACAGTTTTATATATAGAGATGAACTGCAATTACGATTGAAATGTATGCTGTATATGTTAATTTACGTTTTGGGCTGTGGGTTGGTCACCAATCAGTCACTCCTCATATGTACATATATAAATATGTATAAAAGATTGCCCTGACTTACAAATGACTTATGGGTGATCAACGTACAGCTCAAAATAAAAATGATAGGAAGCTGAAAATGTAACTAAGGATTCCATTTGGGTCAGAAGTGGGCACTTCAAGTTTGGAAAACGCGACCGAGAATGACAGTTATAAGTAATAAATAATTAATTGTAAGTCGTATAACTTTATCCTACCTTTGTGTTGTTAATTCTTCTTTCGAGGCTGTATGGTTATAGTACCCTGCTGATGGGAGGCGATCAATATTAGTCGAAGAGTAGTACGGATAGAAACATGCGTGAGCATCCTTTAAAAGAAATTTGCTGAAATTTAAAAATGATTTTAACAGGAATTAATATTAGTAGTCTAATAATACAATGTAACCAAGAAATTATTATTCAAAATTCCGGTTACTTAGACACGTTTTGAGGGGTGATTTGGGTAATTTAAAGCACCTCCAAAAAAAAGAGCTGATATTTATTGCTCTTCTATCGATCATTAGAGAAGTAATTGAACGTATCACCGCTCTTTAAGATCATAATTTATCATTTATCTTCTTATTACGAACAAGTATCTCTTGTCGGGAGTGCTCGACCTGTGAATACCCACTACCCTAAACCGACCAAATTACTTGCTATTGCTTCAAACTTCCATATCAAAAATCCAGTTTCAAGAAGAAACAAGTAAGAGGTTCTAGTCGGGAGCTCCCGACTAGGGGATACCCTGAACCCTCTTCTTCCAACACCAAATGCAGCTCGCGCTACGCGCTCGTTTGATTTAGTAGTAATAAAGAAAAATGAAAATAAAAAATAATTGTTCCCTTGGCAGGGTTCGAACTCGCAACTAACCGCACCACTTACCGCTACCTCTACTCAAGGGCCACACCAATAATTGAGCTTTAATGAAAAAAACCAAATAAAAAAGCAGCACAGAAAACAATACAATCGCAATTGCAATGCTGTTGATAGAATTCAAAGCAAACACGCATGAATGTGTGTGTGTGTACATGTATACAGAAATTCTTGGAATTTGCGCAGCAGCTTTGCTGCTAACACGTGCGCACATAACTTTTGTAATTTATAACCGATCTTAATGAAATTTTCGATAGTACATCTTATTGTAGACTAGAAAAAACAATATTTGTGTATTCTCAAATAAATTGATGGGCAATACAAGTTGGATAATTAACTTGATTTATAGCTTTGAGGTGGTAGCGGAGAGGTGGCGATAGGTATAAAATGAAAGATACTTGATATATATATACTATTCTAGAAGCTACATGTCAAGTTTGGTGATTCTAGCTCATATTATTTGCCGAAATTGCTCAAAAAACAGGATTTCGATATCGATTACTTGGAAACGGGGCAAGTTATCGAATATCGGAAACAAACTCGATCTGCGCGGGCATTAGGAGGACCTACAGCTAAAATTTCAAGTCTCTAGCTCTTATAGGTTCTGATATCCTTCCGTTCATACATACGGACAGACGGACAGACGTACGGACAGACAGATGGACATGGCTAGATCGACTCGGCTATTGATGCTGATCAAGAATATATATACTTTATGGGGTCGGAGATGCTTCCTTCTGCCTGTTACATACATTTGCACAAATACAATATACCCTGTTTACCCATTTGTAATGAGTTCAGGGTATAAAAACAGCAGCACATACGCACAGCTTACAATATCGCAGTTGCAATTCTATTTATTGAATTAAAAAACGCTATGCATATGAATATGTGTGAATATGAATGTAACAGAAATGCATGCGCATTGCGCTTGCTGCCATGTGGCTTGCCAATATAACCACAAGAATTGTTTATTAACCAATCCTGATGAAATTTAATTTTCACAAAATTACAAGAAACTTAACTTAAGGTTAACTGGAAACGGCTCTAATTTGATATCAAACAGCTGTCTTTCTATTAAGCTGCCAAAGGAATATGAATATCGTCTCATTAAATTTTAAAATATACAGCTCGTTCCCGAACGTACTTCATGATAATATTTTTTTATCTTGGTGATCATGTTTTTAAGATACCTGCAAGATTATGTGAACTAAATAATATCAGTGATGTTAAATTAAAGAATACGAATGAAATGGGGCCAACCAAAGTAAGGCATCCGATTATCGAGCGCAACAAGAACACGCTTTACCTAAGAAAACTCCGGTAATATTACAGCAAATTAATTGAATTAGTCAATTATTTGAATTATATAAATGGGAACTTAAACCGAATACTCTGCACCTGTCAGATTAACTTCCAGACATTTTGAGTAATTGCAATTCACTTGGATTGTAAACATCTGAGCGGTTCAAATGTAAATGAAGAATCAAGTTAAGATTGCCCTCAATGTATCGTAGTATTAATGAGAAAAAAAACAACGAATTAAAATAGCAGCACCGAAAACAATACAATCGTGGCACAATAAATTGGTGTATTTACTTGATTTATAGCTATTAGGTAGTAGAGGGGAGGTGGCGAGAGGTAAAAAATTAAAGAGTTTGATATATACATACTATTCTAGAAGCTGCATGTCAAGTTTGGCGACTCTACCTCTCATTATTTACCGAAATTGCTTAAAAAACAGGATTTCGATATCGATTTTTATCGATTACTTGGAAACGGGGCAAGTTATCGAATATCGGAACTAGGAGGACCTACAGCTAAAGTTTCAAGTCTCTAGCTCTTATAGGTTCTGAGATCCTTGCGTTCATACATACGGACGGACGGACAGACGGACATAAAAAAGGTATTATGTATTTGTGCAAATATATGTAACTGGCAGAAGGAAGCATCTCCGACCCCATAATTTATACATATTCTTGACCAGCATCAACAGGGTATACAAAGAAAACTGTACCCCAATTGCAGCATATACACACAACGCAGCCACACCACAATTGCAATTCCGTGTATAACATTCAAAAACGGCACGCACATAAATTTTGCATATTAATATGTACATCTATTGGAAATTCTTGTGATTTGCGCTGGCATACAAGTTAACGAGTGCATCTCGCGCGCAACAGTTTGACACTTTGTTGTCGACCAGAACATTGGCCAACAGTTGCGCGCATGATGCTGTCAAAGCGGATTCTTGGTGGCCAGTGCTCTGATCAAAACGGTCACCGCCGGTAACCTGAGCCCTTGCCTGTATCGCAAGAGCAGCGTTATCGCTTATGCTTAGTCGGCTTGCCGACTGCTGTTGCAAAAGCTACATTATAATTGTTTTTATGCACCAGCCGCCGTGGCTTCTAGTTCTTAAGTTCAGTTCTGTTCGCACATTCAACAACCGCACTGCTTCTGAAATACATTACTCCGGCTTTGCCGCATTTTATATCATATTCTTTTATTGCTGAGCCACAAGGCCAGCGATTAGGAGCTTCAAGCCACCAACTTATACTCTAGTAATCCTGCAATTGGAATGACACTGGAGGATTAAATCTTCAGAGACTCGGCCACTGGACTGTCTCTGAACTCTTGCAATCTCGCCAGCGACGACAACACACAGCAAGTGTGTTTTGTGGCATGTTTCTGGGTTTTGTATTTTATATTGTTTTCCTTTTCATGCCGACTATGTGTTTATAATCGGCCATTGCAAAAACACGAGTACTTGAAGTGTTTAACAGATTGTTTTTTTTTTTTTGCCTTCTTTGCCAACAAACTGATGAACTTCTCAGCTTAAAGTTAAATTAAAAGAGAATTAGACAGTGACGAAGAGTGGGATACTCAGGTACAAAGTCAGCAGCAATATAAAGAAGATTTGGCAGACATGGATGCCACCCAGCTTCAAGCGCTTATTGCGCAGTTCGCCAGGCCTTGGCCCAACAAGAAGAAAGATTTCGAACTCAGCTCAGTGCTGTGGAAGCCCAGATAAGCAGTCTGCTTGTAGAATATCAGTGAACTCGGACATAAGATGCGACATACCACTAGGTATTATAAGTCTGACCCCGACTTTGACGGCACCCAAGACGAATACGTAGCGTGGCAGCAGTCAGCCAACGACGCATACGAAGTCTTCAGGCCATTTAACTGCAGCAGTACACATTATTAGGCGGTAACTGTCATCAGGAACAAAGTCAGTTAGGCAGGGCGACTTAGGTCGAATGCAGTACTACGATGAGCTCGAACGAAAGATGACCATCATAACTAAACGCTGAGTTACTCAATAAAGAGGTTATACCCGATGCATTGCATGCATTCATCTCAGGCCTCAGAAGCCATCCGCAGTAGCTCTAGCTAGAGAAGCTGAAGCGATCATTGAAGGAAGCATGTTTTCGACTTCGTACGCCAGAGCCATCGAGGAAAGAGCTCAGGCTACTGAACACAACAATAATCGCCGAGAAAATTCGCAGGGAAAAAACAACAGGGAGGAAAGAGTTCATGAAAGAAACCATCATTTCGTCAAGCGTCAGCATAACAATGCTAACCAAGAACAAACAATGTCCGGCCCCGGAACCTATGGAAGTAGATTCCTCATCAAAATTCAAGCAACGCACAGAGTTCGGGAAACCCCAAACCAATTGTGCGCCGGCGCAAAAACGACAAAACACGTCTGAACGTATGACAGGCCCAAGGCGGCAGCGCCTTAACAACGTCGTTTACAACGCTTCTGACAGTCAAGAAGTGAATTATGAAAAGGCAGCTACATCCGCAGTTAACGACACAGAGGATGATAGCGATTCGCCATGTGGCAACGAGTGGTAAATTTTTTTAGTGAACGCTCCCAGCTACCGGTCATCGAACGACAGCTGGCTGGGAAAACTTTAAAAATCCTAATAGACACAGGGGTGGCAAGGAATTATGTAAATCCCGTTAAGGAGATAAAAACATAATTCCTGTCGAAAACCCGTTCACTGTGAGTTCAATACATGGCTCCAGTAAAATCCAAAGCAAATGCCTAATGAAAATTTTCGGGCAAGTTTCTCCATTTTTTCCTTTATAATTAGGCCATCAAGGTCCCCTTATAACAGCCCAGCTGGCTTGTAGACAGAAAAGGCTCTGAAGCCAACGGCAGTAAAAATAAACGTTTGGTAATCGACTTAAGGAAGCTAAATGAGCGAACTCTAACCGATCGATATCTAATGCCATGCATCCCCATGATTTTAGCCAACCTGGGAAATGCTGTGGACGAAGTTTTCACAACCCTAGATTTAAAATCAGGGTACCATCAAATTTATTCTAGCGATATAAGACCGCCAAAATACGTCATTTTCGGTGAACGTCGGAAAATATAAATTCTGTGGCTTGCCATTGTGTCTCAAAAATGCCGGAAGCATTTTTCAAAGGGCCATAGACGTCGTGCTAAGAGAGCA